TGCGCGACGGTTTACCTAGTATGCTTGTTCTTATTTATTCCATTTCCATTCATGGAATGGTTTACAAGTAAAAAAGGGTCTAACAGGAGAGGGAAGTCTATTACTAGATTTTTTTGAAACAGAAATATTAAATGCAATATTCGCACTATCGCTTGTATTAGTAATATTTTTAACTGTATTGTTATCAGAGACGAATTCAAAAAGATCATTATCACTATCCATTACAGTATATTTAAAGAAAAGTTGATAATTTTATAAAAAATTGGGCAGGTATATTTTGAACTCCTTTTATATTTACTAATCATGGATTATACGAAATCTATATTAAAAATATTCAACACTTTAAATTGGATTTTTTGAGGCTATGACTGTAAGATTTCTTTTTTTTTAAAAAAAAAAAAGCTTTACTTTTTTTTATTCTTGTTCATGTAAATTTCATGATTAACTACTATTAAGCTATATAGAGACAGATTAACTAATAATTAAGCCGAATTAACTTGATTTCTCAGCTTGAAGTGGCTCTGCTCCAAAGCCATGGTTAAAGCTCCAAAGCCATGGTTAGCTTGATTGTTAGCTTATTTTCATTACAGATCACTCTCGTTATAGTGAAGTGATCAGGCTGTGAGATTTTCTTCACTATATCGAGAGTCTATTGGTAAACTCGCTATATCAAGCGGGTTTTTTTTATATAAACTGTTCTTCACTATAACAAGAGTGAATTGTATTCAAATTGCTAAGCAAACCGGTTGATAGTATATAAATGATTTCAAATAAATAAACAAAATTCAGACTTGTTGAAGATTTTCAGTGAACTGGTTGATGGTACAATGCTACCATACAACAATCAAAATTGATGATTAATCATTAGTAAAATAGCTAAATATGAAAAAAATTAGTCAAGAATTTATATGTATATTTTTTTAATAAAATTAAATTAAATAAAGGCATCGTTGGACCGTCATGTGAACTTTGTTATTTTTTATTACTTATTCTAAATTATCTAATGCTAATGTACAGTATTTAATTTATTTAAAGTCTTGCTGTTTATTAATTATATATAAATAAAATAAAAAAAAGTGTGAATGATCCAGTGTTGGCCAAAAGTAGATCATATAATGTTTTTTACATGTAAAAAGTTTAAATGTAATAATTTATGTAAAAAGTTTAAACGTCATAATTTAGTCATGATATTAAATGATCTACTATTGGCTAATTGTCATGCTATTGACTCCATTAGCTCGTGGCTCCATGTTCGGCTATGTTCGGCTTCAGATCTTTAGCCAAGCTGTTTCTAGAGCCAATACTTTATTAGTAGACCCTTAGCCAAGCCGATAATCGGCTCAGCTTAGCCGATCGGCTTGCGGCTTAGCCTTAGCCGTTCACATCACTAACCTCAACCTACTTATGTAGAAGCAGATCAAAAAGTGCAAAAGGTTGAAAGTGGCTAGCAAAGTACCAATTTGGTTTGCAAAAATAGAAGATGTAGTTCTTATAGATAAAACTAGTCAAAGAGCTAAATCCACCTTTCGGATCCAGTTAGCAAACAACCTAAGCCCAAAAATAGTACCAGATACTGTACTATAAGTACAGATAGAAGGAAGGAAGGAGTAGATCTTAATGAAAACCAAAGGCAAAATAGAGGTCAGTAAAATAATAGAGAAAAGAGGCAAAAGAACCTACACAATGGAGTACTGAGCATCTGCAAATGATCAGAAGAACAGCACAATTAAACTAAACAAGTGCAAAAGTTGTAAACAAAAAGTAAAGAAAACAAAATAGACCTAGTTAGCAAACAACCTAAGTCTGAAAATAGCACCAGATACTGTACTATAAGTACAGATAGAAGAAGGAAGAAGTGGATCTTGATGAAGACCAAAGGCAAAATAGGGTTAGTAAAATAATAGAGAAAAGAAACAAAAGTATCTACACAATAGAGCACTAGCATCTGCAAATGATCAAGAGAATAGCACGATTAAACTAAACAAGTGTAAAAGTTATAAACAAAACAGTAAAGAAAACAAAACTCCAGAATCCTGCCAGAAAAGCAAATCAGTAAAAAATAAGATGATAGCAATTAACCAGAGACTATTACAAAAAGACCCTGCAGAACTCTATATATAGAACTAAGTAGTTTAATGGGTACAGCTCTAATATTATCTATATACGAAGTTGAGATAACTAAAGTTACTATATACTCATTGGTAATAAAAATAATCAAACAAGCAATCAAAAGTCCTCAAACAATAGAGAAGCTAAAGAGTATTGTAGCATAGCTAGAAGGGCACAAAAAATTAGCATTTTACACCAATAGTTTACTCTCAAATTTAGATAAAAACCAGATAGAAGAATAATAGGAATTGGCTAGGTAGCTGTGATTGAAAACAAGAACAAAAAGTATGACCACTTTATAGCAGAGTTTCAAGAAACAATAAAAGATTGATCATTCTCGACAAGAGCTAAACTAGAAACAATCTAGTCAGCTTTGTTAGTTACTTACTGCAAGACCTTGATCAGTATTTACACAAATAGCATAGCTGCAATATAGGCAATACAAACAAACAAAAACAAAAACAAACAAAGTAAGATAGCTAGAAAGAAGAATTTATGCCTTCTAGAACAAATCTGAAGAACAATTAATTTGAAAAAACTAAAAGTTTGGCTCAACAAGGTCAAAGCATATAGTAGTATACAAGGCAATGAGAAAATAGACAAACTGGCAAAAGAGAGAACACACAGCTAGGTGGTTTTGGCTCCTAAGTAGCCCTGGAACAAGCAAGCTATAACTGAACTTAGATAGCAAGAGACAAAAGTAGATAATACAACAAGAAGCTTTATTACAAGATTAACAAAATTTAGCATCGACACAAAATAGAAAAGCCTAAAAAGTATAAACAAATAAGTGACAATAGAGAACAGTGACAAGGCAATTGAGTGAAAGGAGGTATAGAAAGACATAAGTAAAGATAAAGATAATATGTACAGAAGTGCAAAAAGACATAGGGACTGGGTTTTTAAGATCAAGTGCTTGAGTGATTTACTGCTAACAATACAAGTTCTATACTAGAGAAAGACAAACATATATACAGACAATAAATGCAAAATATGCTATCAAGAAGCTGAAATACAAAAGCACCTCGCCAAATATTCTGAATATCAATGTTTATGGAAAATTATAAAGAAAAAAAGAAGCAGGGTTATTGTTAAGAAAGTAGAAAAAGAAAAAGAAAAGCTTGTGACAACAGAAATACAGAGAATCACAGAAATAATATTTAAGAAAGACTTATAGGAAAGGATTTTAATCAGAATAGAGCTAATAAAAGAACTTATAACAAAAAAAGAAAGTGAAAAGATTAAGCTTCCTGCTATGTGAAGTGAAGAGAATTTTCAAGTTTCTTTAGGCTTTTGTTAACAAAGTTAAAATGCAATTTTAAAAGTATATATAAAATTTCTAGTATGAATTGGTGGCAGAGTAGAAAAAGAATAAAGAAATAATCAAGAAAGATAAAAGAAAAAAAAGAAAAAAAAAAGAAGATAATACTGACAAAGAAAACATAAATCCACAGGCTAGTGAAAGAAGAACAAAAGCCAAAAAAACCAAAACTAGAGCAAAAAATACAAAACTCGAAATAGCCAAAACGAAAGAAAAGCTAATCAAAGAATAGGTCTTATGAAACAACAAATTAGCATGATCCTCGCTGGTCAAAATTAAATCTAATATTTAAGCATGCTTGATATGGCAAATAATAGCTAACCATTAACCAAGGGGTATCATTATAGTACAAAATCCTTAGAAAGTTAAGAGTTTCGAGGGAGGTGAATTGTTGTTTTGGCAGGTTGTACTAGGCAAAGTGCTTGGTGAGTTTTTATTAGATTAAAATATTATACTATAAAGATTATGTATACATGTATATTAGTCACATAGTAGTTTAAATAAATAAAAGCAAGACTGCTTAAAAAAAAAAAAAAAAAAAAAGTATCTATAATAATATAGTACCCACTATATATAAAATATACCTCTTATTAATATTTTTTCAAAATTCAAACAAATTTGTCTAAAAAACAGTTAAAAATACTATATTATACTGTACAGTAAAACACTAAAAAATATGTACAGCACCATGTTTAAAATTCAAAGCTAAAATTTATTCTAAATTGAATCAATTTTTTTTTATAAATTTACATATAAATTGTAATCAAATACAGTATTTACAACATTTTGATCTGTAAGAAATGCATCCCATGCCTGGTAATACATACTATCTAAATCTATCACGTGACGAAAATGCACTACGAAACCCAATTCCAATTACTGTATGTTACCGAATAAAAGCAACAAAAAAAATTGGAATTTTTGGATTTCAGAAAGGAGTTGTTGTTTTATTTTTGTATTAATAAAACATAAAACTTTCTGCAAAAGTTATTTATAGATTTATATGAGCGAATGAATCCAAAATCAGGGAGTTGCTTTTATTCGGAGGGTTGGTAACATACGGTATATCAAATATTTTTAAAAGGGTCTTTGAAAGTCTTGAAAAGTACAATAAAGTCATACTATATCTTTAAAAAGGCATTTGATGGAACGCTTTAAACGCCAAAAAATTATATCAATTCCACTCTAGCATATTTTTTTCAAATACCGCTAGAATTGAAACACATTATTTATACATTTGATTAAACTATCTTGATCGTCTCTGAGGGGGAGGTGGTGGTTGTGGTGGTGGAGGGCTATTTAAAAATCTTCGATTCCCGCCATAAAATTGACCATATGACATATCACCATAACCACCATCATAACGCGGAGGAGGCGGTGACAAGTCGCTATAGGGGAGTCCAAAGTTCATAGGATGTATTTGCATAGGATTATAATAACGAGGATCGCCTGTATCGTATGGTATTCCATACATCGGACTAGCATTTTGGCTTCGATTTCCTCTTGGTGGGTATCTTATACGCCCATCAGGACCAATTAATTGTTCTTCATCTATTGGATATCGTCTCTGCCTTTGTGGTTGACGCATTTCATTATTATTATGTCCAGGAAATTGTGGTAGTGTCTGTGACGTTTCTCTTCTTTTATTATTTGGTAATTCTTTCTTAAACTCTTCAGTTTGAGATGGATCACGGAAACGTTTGTTTGAAAATGAAGAAGTATCTATCGAATTTTGAAATTCTTGATGGTCCTTAGTTAGCTTCTGGGATTTTGGTAATCCAGTAACTGCAGTCATTCGAACAGGAATATCTGGCAAGTTTGGATTTTCCACCTCAGTTTTTTCTGGTTTAATCGTTGAAGGATTGACTGGCAAATGCGCAGAAGCCTTCGATATGATAGGTGAAGTAACATTTTCTGACGTCTTTGTCGTATTGCTATTTGACATTTCACCTTTGTTCATATTACCAAACAACCAAATGTCAGTTGCTACGTCCGCTGTACCATGATCACGGCTTCGATGGTTTGTAAATTTGTCCATCCTAGTAAAATACTTATTACATCCTTTCCAGGTGCACACAACGAGACTAGTCTCGTTAGCATCAGCTTTATATCCCACACAATTCTTAATACTCTCTTCTGTAGTAATTTCATCAACTATTGCAGGGATCGATGCTGCATATTCAACTTTCTCAGCCATATTTCGATTTTTCTTTTGCATTTTGTTGTTCACCCTTTGCTTTATCTGATTGCGTCAGCATGGCGGACCTTCGATCTGATTGGTTATAAAACCCTGAGTTACACAACATAGACTTTACTAAGAAAAGCTACATCGTCAATAAATTTTCAAGTTTTTTTTTTTTTTTTTTTTTAGCTCTTACCGTTACGTTTTTTTAGCTCTTTACCGTTACGTTTTTTTTTTTTACTAAAAGATCTAGATACTGTAATTAAGTATCACTACTGCACTAAAAACACTTTAATCTGAAAAAAAAAATTGATAAGTATATGGTATATTATAATATAGTTTATGTGCTAATTAAATTACTTTATATGTAAAATATTTTTACTGTATAACTCAAATAAAAAGATAAAGTATAATTTATATATAACATTGCGGTTTGCTACGTAGAAATGACGGATTCTAACTAATTCAAATCTCATTTATGCTTTAAATTCTGTAATCAGAAAACAAATACCGTAAATTCTCAAAATAGCGGGCATGGAGTTATGGCCCGAATTAAGCTTAATTTAGGCCAAAATTTCGAAATTACACCTCTGAGCGTTATCTCGAGAATTTATGATATTCAGAAGTTTACTAAAATATATTATATATATATATTGATTATCGAAAGCCAGCATTATAATTAGTGCCGGCTAACTTTGTCGGTATTATGTTCTTTCGGGGATCCATTTTTCGGGATTTTGACCCAAATTCATATATTTTAATGATTGATATTTTAAATAAAAATATTGACAATACTAGATAACAAAAATACAGTCAAACCTCTATATATGCACGCTCTATAAATGCACATTCTATATAATTGCACCCTATGCCTCAGTCCCAACTAATAATGACACTAATAAATCTACACTCTATAAATGCACACCCTCTACAAATACACATTTATGTTCCAAGGGGGTGCATATATGGAGGCTTGATTGTATATACAGTATATACTGTATTAAATAAACTAATACTTAAGTTATCTCTTAATTAGTAGAGTTTGCATTGCATATATAATTGCTATAAATTTTGATTTGATTTACTTTTAAAAATTTAAAAATCTGCTATTATACAGTCTTTTGTCTAAGCTATAAACTTACAAATAACACTCATTTTAAAAGATGCGTTATTTAAAATGAAACCTATATAAAAAAAAACCAATAAATTTTATCGTCGGTACTGTTCCTGATAGGATGAAAAAAAAAACGATTCACGCACCACACCGTTCCTGATAGGGTTCTAAGAACCAAACTACTATCGAAATACAAGGCTATTGCATAAAATTTGGCAGTCCACTATTACTGCCCAACCAGATTATTTAAAAAAAAAAACGGAAATTAGTATTCAATCATTTAATAAAGTTTTCAACCCTATAGTCATTATTTTAAGACACGTAATTCAAAGAGAGCTAATATTTAATTTAGCCGAATACAACCATAATTTTAATATTAATAATTCTTTTGCTAAATTACCTGTCTCGAATAATGCCTATGGAAGTTTTTCACATAAATACGGTACTGTATTATTTTAAGACCAATATTTAGGAAAGATGTTGTGAATCAATCACGGGCATTCGCATTATAACTAAGCATCGTCATGAGAATTAATTTCGGGGTTCCTTAAAGAACCCTATCAGGAACGGATTTTTTTTCATCCCATCAGGAACAGCACTGACGATCCATTAGGAACGGTATTTTTGCAATTTTATTAGTTGAATACGCATGTTATGACGGCTTTAGATGAAATCTACGAGAGGCCAAAAATAGTATATAGTATTTGCGAAAAATTTTAAAGTTGTTATTCCCATACGTATCAGTTTTATACATTACAGGCAAGGTATAATATTTGAATAGTTATAAATAACATTGTTTTTCTAAACGCATCAGATGTTTGAGAAATTACTTTATTACATCATACTCATAAAACAAATGTACCAAGCGATACCTTATAATAAAAGCAATACAACTTGTAAAAATCTGAATAATAATGACGACTATGGTCAATGTTCGTTCATTCATTGGGCCAAATTTTAATAATAATAAATTCAACAAAGTAAAGTTATTAACTTCAATACCATTTTCTAATTCAGTTATTTCGACAAGACCAAGTGATGAAAAAATTTTGAGAATAACAAATGCTGGGATTCCTAATGGTTTTTTCATGAGAGCTCTGCTATAATTTAACTTTTGCGTTGTTGGACTAAATCTATAGTGAGAAAAAAAAAAAAAAAGTAAATTCTACCAAGTCGTGTAAAATTAATTAATCATCTTAAAATATTGATATCTACTTACTTTGGCATGCGATGTCGCGGACAATCTATCAATTTGAATAATTGTGGCGCAGAATATATAAAGTTGAATATTTGTGGTATAAAAAATAATAGTAAAGTTTTACTGAAATGTGCAAGTATTCCTACTACTGTAAATGTCATTCCAGCAAAATAACAATACGTGTCTCCAACAAAAACACGTGATGGATACCTAAAATAAGGTTTAAATTTAAATTTAATTTAATTTGAAAATATATAAATAATTATATATAAGTAGTTAAATTATATATAAGTAATTAAATTTGATTGACTTACCAATTATGCATGATCAATCCTAATGAAACTCCAATGAAGGGAAGAATAAAGTATAATGAAAATAAATGACCTTCAATAGCAGGATTAGAAGGACTAGATCCGTTTAAGAAAAGAAAATCATTGATTGCAATTGAACATGCGATAACTAATGATTGTCCAATTTCTACACCATTAATACCAGCTAGAATATTAATGGAGTTCGTGCAAAAAACAGCTACCATGCTCATATAAACATAATATAGTACCCCTATTTTTATTTAAATGTTATTTAATAAAAGGTTTAATCTAAGCCATTCAAATAAAATCGCGTAACTTACCCAAGTCCACAACTCTCCCAAGTAGAAATCGTAGCGGTAATGGCATAACTATATGAGTTTCCCCAAAATTTACATAGTAAACCATTAACAAAGGAATAGATGCGATAGTTGGTAATAAAAGTTTATATCTCCATCGAATATCAAAAACATCATCAGCAAAACCAAGAAAAGTCATTGATTGTAGAGACAGCATTGCCGATAAGAATTCACCCAACTATAATTTATATAGAAAGTATTATTCAATTTGTTTTGATAGATTATCGATTGGTGACAAATTCCGGGATTACCTTATGATGAGGAAAAGTTGGCGCGTGAAACTCTTCTGAACGTGAAATAATACCTTTTTTACTTGTAAACCATTCCATGAATGGAAATGGAATAAATAAGAACAAGCATACTAGGTAAACCGTCGCGCA